TTCACAATGTTGTTATTTTGAAGGCACACTTGGGTATATCTCACCTGAGCTCTCAAGAACAGGAAAGGCAAGTACAAACTCAGATGTATTCGCACTCGGAGTGGTAATGCTAGAGATTGTTTGCGGTCGAAAACCCATATTGCACCGATCATCGCAGAGCGAGATGGTACTGACTGATTGGGTGCTAGAGTGTTGGGAGAACGGAGATATAATGCAAGTTCTTGATCAAAAGATCGGGCAAGAGTATATTGAGGAGCAAGTGGCACTTGTTCTGAAACTTGGCTTACTCTGTTCACATCCTGTAGCAGCCACCAGACCAAACATGTCCAGCGTCATTCAATTCTTGGACAGTGTAGCTCAAATTCCTCATAACTTGCTTGATATTATGAAAACTAGAGGAATCAATGGAGGTACTGAAGTCTCAGGTGAAGCAGATAATTCTCCAGAGTCATGTTCCGTCGCTCCCTTGACCTTCACTGAATCATTTGTCTCTCATGGACGCTAAAAGAAAAAAATCCCATACGGTTTCATAGGTTCTTGATGTCTATTGGCAATGGAAGTCTTTGTGGATTGTAATCTGCTTGGAAACGTGCAAGAAGGATATATCAGAAACATGTTTCAGGGGAAATAATAAGATTGATTTTATGTTGTCCTTTATTGAAAATATACAATCATCCTTACGTTTATACTCTATAGATTCTCTACACACATAGATCGACAGAAGATTGTATAATACTTTTCCCATGGCTCCAGTGGTTGTAGAACTAGCGCACACGAACCACCATATATCTCAAGAAGAGAGTTCGATAAGACCAAAGTCAAAGAATTCACTGCACAAATGATAGAAACAATGGTTTAAACCCTTTCAAAGTAGAAAGATTGATAAGATTAGAAATTCAGACAAGGACAGAAGCAGAATATAAGACCTTAAGGCCGCCATGTTGGTTAGGGTGTGAGTGAAGATCAAGTTTGTAGAGAGGACGTGACCATTCAATCTTTGCCCAAATCTCGCCTCCCTGGCGTTTCTCCATGGAAAGCTCTAAAGCCTCAGGATCTTCACGATGTGCATTCCAGAAGATGACAATGTTCCCAGCAGAGTTGCTGCAAAGTCGGATGATATTACAAAAGGTTCCCTATAGCACACCAATCGTTTCTGTTTCCTAACTTAGATTCTGTACGACCCATTCCCCAAAACATAGACTGACTTGGCACAAAGTCGAAGGGTTCGACGTTCCACATCCACCGCGTAAACCGTCTTCTCCTCTTCAACCACCACACTCTGATGAATATCATAACGCATCTTGGGGATATACCAGTGACCCCAAGTTTGTGTCTTTAGATCGAATACCTCTGCCCAGTTTGAGGAATCAGCGTACTCTACACACCCTCCAAACACGTATATCTTCCCGTCTAAAAGGCTTGCAGATGCACTAGCACGAGCCATCGTCATGGACGGTGCGCGTCGCCATGTGTGAGACATGCGCCGTGTCGGAGAGAAACAATCGAGGAACCAGACATCGGAAGTGCGACTGCCGTTTATGAGTCCACCGAATACATAGATCCCCTGATCCACCACCACGAAAGAGGATGCTTCCGGAGCCTGATTGGGGTTCGAAGGGATTGGGATCAGACGATGGTAAGGTGTGAGGATGAACCAGCGTGGGGCTGGCTCAGGAATGATGCGCAAGCATAGGTAGAGACATGACTCGGTGCAAAAACCATTACTGTGTGTCTCAGGGGAATCTACGAGAGAGCGGTGGCTCTTTGAGGCGATAGCTAATGCGGCTAGGTCTCGAGATCTGAGCCAGGCAGTTCATCTGGCAACGAGTGTAACCCAGACGACGACGACGGAGATAGCTTCGTCTTCATCTCCCTCTGTTAAAAAATATTCAACCGTGCACGCACATTTAAAAATACTTTTGTTAATGTATATAGTTAATTGAACTTTTTCATATGATAATTACAACGTGTATTAAATTTTTACAAATAAATGATTGTCATATGTAATATATATTATAATATATTAAGTGTAAATAATTTTTTATGTATTTACTATTGTAGATAAGAGAAAAAATTGATATCTACAGCAACAAAATGTTCTTGTTCAACTAATATTTACCAATCATGTTTATTTTAAAAAATCACAGCCAAATCTCACAACTACAAGAATATATAGCTTAAATTTTACAACCAAAAATTTAAAGCTATAACCAATTAGGCCCATAATCTCTTGAGAAAGTTGTTCTTGAAGGTGATTCGGATATTGACAGTGACACTTTGACGGTTGGTAAGAAAATTGGATGTGAATGGTGAGTGTTAAGTTATGATTTTTTTTTGTTTTTCTTCTTCTTCTGATATTGGATTACTAAGTTGAATTATATATATTGGATTACTAAGTTGAATTATTTATAATCTTTGATGTTTCAGCAACACAGGAACCTATCTTAACGAGAGATTGACCATTAGTTTCTAACAAGCTGCCTCACTTCTGTCAACAAGTTGGTATAATGTAGTGTTCTTCTATTTTCTTTATTGTAATACTTGTTTCCTTGCATTATTTCTATTTTGTTACCGACTCTTCTGGTTTCTGTTTGTAGGAAATTGAAGCACCAGAATCTTGTTCTAGTTATCGGAGTAGGGACTCTACCGGAGAATCACTTGTTTATATCATAGTTTATCCGTCGTGAAAGAATATCTGATTTTCTCCACAAAGAGAAAAGTGTGTTTGACAGTCAAACTTTAGCGAGAGTAGTATGTTGGATATCTTCGAGATTAACCATGATGGTCGTATAAAACAGTTGGATCCAGATCTTCAAAACATATTAGAGGATTTCAAAAACTATTTTTTCTTTGTAAACATTAAAATAAAAATTTAAAATCCCAAACTAAAAACATGAAACTGATAACACCCTTTTGTGTATAAACAACAACAAAATAACGGTTAGAAAGCTCTCCGAATACTTGTGGGATC